CATAGGATTTGGACTCCTCGCCCATCATCCTCAGCCAACAAGGCTGTGAAGTAGAAGGAGGATATGCTGCCTTGAGTTCCTGAGTGACAAGCAAGGGATAACTTAAATATATATATATCGATGCTTGTCTGTGGGTGACTGGGAATGGTTTGAGGATGGAAGACCCTTACAATAGATGGAGAGGAAAATGTTCCAGGATATCGGTGCTTCTCAAAGTTAGGTAAATTATGCAAAATTGGATATAAAAGTGCTTTTGCTCTGGGCAATGGACCCATGAACCCATTTCCCAATCCCAACAGGGATATTTAAACTGACTTACAGGATTTTACCTACATGAAATAAAAAGGATTTTCTGATAAGAGGTATTGGGTAACAGAAAGTTTGGGAAGCCCTGCCATAAATAAGTAACCCCACAGAATCTACAACTGGCTTCAACTCCATTCTAACTCCAGCAGTCTGGTTTTTTTTTTATTTTTTTTAGATCTAATAAATTTCACAAACATGACGTGGGCTTTTGGTTTGCTCGTTTTGAATTCCAGTGCATCAGGCAGCTGGGGCAACCTAGGGAAATTCTTGAGCTGACTATTGCAAGTGTTTATGTACATTTCAGCAAAGACCTGAAGCATGTAGTGTGAACGTGTTGCAGCCTCCTCAGTCTGGTATGGAAAGACAATGTAAGCATTATGGGGTAGAGAGAGAGAGAGATTTATAAATTGGTGATGGAAGTGAATTTCAAGCAAGTAACCTCTCGACTTCTATTTCAATCTCCTAGACCCAGTGTGTTAAACCAGTTATTTCCTTACCTTGGGAAATAAATGTACCAAGGAGAGATTAACAAACTTCTGGCGCTGAGTGATATTACAAAATGAACAAAGAACTCTGTGAAGTTGTATAAAAAAATAGATTATGTATGACCAATACTGGTTTTAGAAGATTGCAGTGTCTAGAAGTGAGAGAGAGAAGGGAGAAGAGACAGAATGGTGCAGTAGTAGTTAAGGCATAAGGCTGGAAACTGGGAAGTTGTTAGTTCTAATCCTGCCTGAGGCACAAAGCGAGCTGAGTGAATTTGGGCCAGTCCTTCTCCCTCAGTCCCAAGAAGAAGGCTGCAAGGGAAAACCACTTCTGAAATCCTGCCAAGAAAACCGCCGGACTTGTCCAGGCAATTGCCAGGAGTTAACACTCACTTGAAAGCACTAAAAATAAAATAAGTGTCTGAAAAACAAAGACGGCTCCATTTATATAACACATTACAGTAAACTTAGTTGGAGGTTATTTGAGTTAAACTATTTCTCTTCAGGTAGGGCTGCAACTATTACAGCAATTTTAGCCAATGGAGAATATCTCCCATAGTGTGCAGTAACAAAAAAAAAATCCCTATGAAAGCTTGAGATAGATACCATACCATACTGTTCAGTTGTAAAATGTTTTTTAATGAATCTGTTATTCTTACATAAAGAAGCTGGTTTGCATCAGCTTCTTTTATGTTATAGCGTATTTTGAATATTAAACTATGCTGTTTTAAATATCAATAGCTGTTTTTTTAAATACATTTATACATTACATTTATAAATTAATGCATTAAACTTTTTGTTATTTAAATAGACTGGAGGGAAGGCTAGTGCAGGATTTTAACTATGTAAAATATGGATACAATTACAAGTACAGTATTGGTGTTCTTCCTACTCTGTGTACGGAATATTTGCATGTGTGGGCACATGATAGAAACATAGGGTGTGAAGAGAGAATTTCCTAGTTAGATAGATCTCTGTGTATAGTAGTTAGAAGGAAAGCTTTGTTGGAGTTTTTGCTGTAGAGTCTTCTAAATTCATTTTTAGTTGAAATTTCAGCGGTTTAGTATCAGATTCATCTGGTTATAGACTGCAGTTTTCTTTGGAAAAGCATCATTCCTTAAAATATATCATACAGTTCTGTGTACAAGTACCTAGTTTACTTTTATATAACTGCACTGTCTCCCCGCTAGAATCCTAAAGTGATATACAGGTCTTCAACTTACAGCAATTCATTTAATGATTGTTCAAGGTTACAATGGCACTGAAAAAAGTGACTTATGACCATTTTTCATACTTATGACCATTGCAGCACCCCCCATGCTCACAGGATCAAAATTGAGTCACTTGGCAACTGATTCTTATTTATGACTCTTGCAGTGTCCCAGAGTCATTTGTTTCTCTTTTGCAACCTCCTGACAAGCAAAGTCCATGGGGAAGCCAGATTCACTTAACAACCAGGTTATTAACTTAACAATGGCAATGATTCACTTAACTGTGATAAGAAACGTCCCAAAATGGGGCAAAACTCACTTAACAAATGTCTCACTTAGCAACATAAATTTTGGGCTCCATTATGCCCATAAGTCAAGGACTACCTGTACTGTCATTTAATGGTCATGATGATTCTAAACATCTTAATATGTTTTGTGATTAAATGAGGTGCTTTTACTTGTTTGGGACTAAAAGTGAAGCTTTTACGAAAAACTAGTCTAGATTGTGGTCAACCACACAGTGCCAGCAGTACTGTACTCAGTACTGTATTCTCAGCCCATTTGGGAGGCTCATGGGTAGAGAAGACTAAACGCATGTTAGGGACCCGAAGAACAGCAAGCATGCGCATTGCAGCTAATCAATGTTACTGTAAGAGATTTGGGGTGGAGAAAAAGACACTCTATTCTTTTTGTTTGCAAATTATTCATAATACAGGGTGTCTAGAATCTGTAACTATATTCCGCTTTTTGGCCTTGGGTCAAAGTAAATTTAACTTTTTTAATACTGCACATCAAGTTTTCTCAGGCAGCAAGTGAGTAGGTTTAACAAATGACCCTGTTCCAATGTGAAGTCCTTCCATGAGGTTCTTCCGGTCTAGAATTATAGGTATCGAGGTAGCCGTAATGATCCTCAGGTGTCAAATTGTGCATTGTAGAGTCATGACCCCAAGCTCTGCCCTTTTGTACTTGTGTCTCAAGTACAAAAGATCTTCCGAGGAGCAAAGTTCATGTTGCGACACATACTTTATCCCTTGCTCCTTGAAGACACTCATAGGGAGGGGAGATGGGGTGACCTTTAACTCCCCAAATGCTCTGGAAACTACTGCAGAGGTCATAAGGGGAAGCTGCTTCTCCTGACTGGTCAATACAGGGAGTTGGGCTATTGCAGAAGGTTTATATATAGCTTATAACGTGTGGCACTTCTTAAGTAACCATTTATTGGATTCTACTGCTGGAGGCATTATCTGTGCCATTAATCCTAATGATAGCTGAAACCAAGGAGCCAACCAATCTTGGCATTTGGGTGCATGAATTATGAGAATTTTACCTACATGCTTGAGGCAAGTTTATTTTTTTAAAGCATAGTTTTAAAGCTGAAATATGAACATTTAGAATGCTTCCTTTCTTGTTGGAAAAATAATTGGGACTTGGCAAATGGGAGTCTAATTTGGATGGTTTTCCTAGAAGATATTCATGTGTCAAAATTAGCTCACGGATGACATCATGGTCCTTGGTGTAGCGTCAATCTGAACTTGCAAGGAGCAGCATAAACATGTTTTCAAACATGAGGAATTCAATGCTAAAATGTCCACATTGTTTCTACTGTTTACACAACCTTATTACTCCCTTGTATGCCTTCCAACAATCTTATTCTATTAATGATAATTAATATGCAAGCTACATGTCACATTCTTTCTGCATTAAAAAAAATACCATAGTTTTCAAAATATATTTTATTACTGGTACTAATGAGAATTGAATTAAGCACATACTCTAGTTGGAAGTCTTAGGACCCTAGACTTAGGCTTTGCAAAAGAGTATGCTGAAAATGAAAGGCATACACCTATATTATCCTTTAAAGCATTTTGGGTTTCAGAGGACCCTTTGTGGCCATTTTCATCTCTTTAAATTATTTGGTTATGTTTACTTGGTGGAAATAATTTAAAACAGTCCCAAAGGTAATTTTTCCAAAAGGCAATCGGACTTTTTTGGTTTTTTTTCTTTGAAAATGATTCTCCATCAGTCAGAACTGAAGAAGCTTCTTGGATGAGAAGCGAAATATTTTTAAAGGAACAAAAAAAAAACAAGATAGTCCAGTTGCCTTTTGGAAAAAACACCTTTAGGACAACCATAACCTGGATGGTTGAGAATCTCCATAGATAAACTCAAAGCAGTATTGATCAGTACATTTAATTCCACTTTGGATTTCAAATCTTAGATCAATTTCTGAGGTTACTTTCGTTTTGCTAAACTAAGGGTCGGGGTGAGGGGGAGGAGAATGAGAAAATTAAAACATCCACACAGTTTCCAAAACATTTCTTCCTGTTCTGTATCCCTTTCTAGAGGGGTAGCTTGTGTTGATTGTTGTAACTGGGGGAGGAATTAGAAGAAGGAACTGACTTTGAGGCAATCTCTTTTAGCCCTTCTAGGCAGTTGGGGATTGGGTCTCAAAGGATAGACCGCAGTATTTAATATTTGGCCGTGGCCAAAATAGATCAGCTTTCATCATCACACTGTGACATGCAAATGGCATAGGTCATTGTCTGACTAAATGTAAGAGGAATTACTTTCAGTCTTTTAAAAGCAAATGAGATCTGAGTGCATGTAGGAGACTCAATCCAGGGCAAGATTGCATGAGATTCCTGTGAATTTGGGATACAAATCTCAAAGTCTCCTCCACAGTTACTAATTTGTAATGTTTAATGTAACATGCAAAATGTAAAATGCTCAATAAATAGAAACACATGGGATGCATTATAGACTTGTGTGAAACTAAAACAAATTTATGTTTGGGCTAGGCTATTCCTACTTTTTGAAAGGTATCCTCAGAGAGCAAATGAGCAAATCCTCTGTAGAAAAAGTTGCCTGTTCTGGGATTAGTTCTAAAACAAATTCTATATCTAATATTTAATTATTTGATGTTCAATTTAAAGTACAGCATTTGACATCTTAATTGTATATTGTGTATAAGAGCTGTGGTGGTGCAGTAGTTAGAATACAGTATTGCAGGCTAATTCTGCCGACTACCAGCAGTTCGATCCTGACCGGCTCAAGGTTGACTCAGCCTTTCATCCTTTCTAGGTCATTAAAATGAGGATCCAGATTGTTGGGGAAACATGCTGACACACAGAGGGCTGTAAAGCACTGTGGAGCTGTATATAAGTCTAAGTGCTATTGCTATAGTTAAAGAAGTATATTTATGGACATGTATTCTGTAAATCAAATAAATATGTATCTACCATAGTTAAAAATTACTTTTATTATTTTAGTAGATTACTTAGAAGACCTTCCTGAGACAGATGAGCCTGCCTGGATTTTAGGAAGACAGCACCACCTGAAAACAGGTAAATTTGGAATTAAAAGCTACATATTACTTCTCTGGCAATCTCTAGAAAGAGTAGAAATCCTTGAAAGTCGACATAATGCCAGGTATTAATTACAAGTGCTTTAAGAGCCCTTAAAGTAAAGAAGAAGTTGAGGAAGAAGACAGGTTTAAAGGACAAGATTCCACTTCGAATTGAAAGGAATTAAGCAAGAGGCAGAGGGAAAAAAACCTCATTTCTACAATGAACTATCAGATACTGCATTGGCTTTGACGAATGAAAAGCGAATTGGAGGGAAATGTAACTTTTCAGTAAGGGAGAGGCCACTTGGAAACAAGTTTTACACTTCTGAATGCCTGAATGTCTTCTTGGCTCAGTAGAATATGGCAGGAGTACAACATTTGTGTTCACCTGCTGTTACTTTTTTCAATTCTAGAAAAATCTAAGCTGCTTTCGGATATCGGCTCTCGTCTTTGGTTTACCTACAGAAGAAAATTTTCACCCATTGGTAAGTTTTGCTTCCTGGCCAGATGGGGTTTTGCCCCTCTCAGTCCCTTCTGTTTGTGAAAACATGAATTTTATAAGAGAATGACCCAGTTATTCTGAACAGGAGCTCTTGCCAGTATGAGTGGGTGGTTTTTTTTTGTTTTTGTTTTAAAAAGGCCTCGGCTATATCTGCTTGTCCCTGATGTTGCTCAAGGCAGAACAGACCCTGCACTTCTAGCCCTAAGCCTAGATCCAGCAAACCCTTTAGAACAGGAGTGTCAAACTCGCGGGCCCACAAGCAGGATGCGTCACACACTGGCCACGCCCACCCCTGGTTTAGCAAAGGGGAAAAGTCGCAATACATCACGTGATGACAACGTGACGCCACGAGTTTGACACCCCTGCTTTGGAGTCTGACACGGTTGTCTTGAGTGACATAAATACAGGTGGTCCTCAATTTATGACCATATTTGAGCCTGGAATTACAGTCACAAGTCATTGTGGTCATTAAATGGGCCACCATGTGACTGGATCTGATTTTTCATCTTTTTTTTTTTTTTTTGAAGAGGTTGTTACACTGCAGTCATTAAGCAAACATTTGAATTGTTAAGTGAATCCATTTTCCCAATCGGCATTTTTTGCTGGAAACAGAAAGTAAATAGGAAACTGGCAAAAAAAAAATTATCGGAAATCATTGTCATGTGACCACAAGACTCTGCAAACAGCCATAAAAGTGAGCAGGTTGCCAAGCGAGACCAGAATGCAATCACATGACCGCAGGGCTGAGGTCATCCTAACTTCAAAATTGGATCATAAATAGATTGGGATGTGTGTGTCCATTATAACTTCAAGCGGTTACTGAGTGACTGGTTGCAAATTGAGGTTTACCTATAATCATTTAAACTGGCTCTTCCTGTGGGGGGATAAAATTGGGGCTGCTGTAGCTGGGTTTCCCCCTTCCATTGAAAAGTTTACCTTCTCCATCCTCTTTTACATCAGAGAAGAGCAACTTTGGATAGCCAGGAACTCTACTTAAGGTATTTGAGGATAATTGGATGGAAGCAGTGGAATGGAGTGGAAAATGATGGGTGTGGCCACCTCATGCACATGGAGGGGTGGGATTTCTTTCCCCAGATTATTTGGAGCAGGGGTGTCTTTATTTCTAAAAGTACGCTTATGACAGGGTTGTTTCTGATGGGAATATACGGTTGAAATTGAAAATGGCACCACATTTACAGTTCATGTCTGTGACGTGGTTATTAAATTTATGAGATTATGGAGCAAATCTTAAAAAGATTTTAAATCTTTTTTGTAAATGCCTTTGATCTTCTTCCTTCCTTTTCACCAGGCTATGAAATGGCCTGGTTACAAACGGCAGCAGGCAGATGCAGATTCTTTTGGTTCCTGGGGTAAAACTTGGGCCCTTGATCCAAGGAAGCCTCAGGTTTTGTGCCTTCCTTTTTTATGATGACCTAAGCATGTGCTTCTCACTCCCAAGGAGGTACAGGTCCTTCCTCAGATGCTGGCTGGGGTTGCATGTTGCGGTGTGGACAGATGATGTTGGCTCAGGCTCTGATCTGTCAACATTTGGGAAGGGGTAAGTTTCTCTCCCCCTCTCTCTCTCCCTCTCTCTTTCCCTCCTCCCAGAGGTGGGATTCTACCGGTTTGGACCGGTTCTATAGAACTGGTTGTTATGATTCTGTGCAGTTCGGAGAACCGGCAAATGGTGCCCCTGGCTGGCTAGATGTCCATAACAACACATCCATATAGACCTTTCCATTATGGCATCTACTTAGAAGACAGTCTGCTCTAATGACCTCTGTGGGATTGGCTGAAAATGCACACAGAGTATTTTATTGCCAGAGATGCTATATGTCACTTAGCAAATCCCACGGAAGTCATTGAAGCAGACCGTCCTCTAAGAAGGATTGCAATATACAACTTTTTCTTTAAATGATCACCTTTAGTTGTTTTACCCTTTGTCCTTGGTGGGAACATTTAAAATCTCTAATATATTTTTTCTTCTTAAAGATTGGCAGTGGGAGGAATACAAAAAGCAACCAGAAGAATATAAAAAGATTTTGTGCTGCTTCCTGGACAGAAAAGATTGCTGTTACTCAATTCAGCAAATGGGTAAGTGTAGATTTTATAAGAGCATTGTGTAGTCCTAATTATTGTGTCATTTGGAGGGTGGTAGATTAAGGCACAATCCCATCTGGAAGTGAAATAAAGACAAGTGTTGGCAGAACCACGAAGTTAAAAAAAAATGAGAAGAGTTTGGGCAAAAGAGAAGCCAATACTGATGTCATACTAGGGAGATCCTCAAGTGTCAGCATGGAATCATACCAAGCAAAATCATAACTATATGATGTGTAGTGAGACCGTGAGTTCTAGTCCTACCATAAGCATGAAGCCAATTGGGTGACCTTGAGCCAGTCATTCTCTCTGAGCCCTAGAAAATGACAGTGGCAAACTACTTTGAAAAAAATTGCAGGGACTTGTCCAGGTGGTCGCCAGGAGTCAAGAATGACTTGAAGGCATATGCACACAAAACCCCTAAATTTGTACACTATACTAAACCATGGTTGCAATCATAGTAATTTGGTTCCTGTATTACTTTTGGGTCTTGTTGCTGGTTTAAAATGTAAGAGAAAATACACCTGTCAAGGTTCCAAGTAACACATCCCCAACAAAGAGAACTCCGAGGCAGGAATATTCTTCAAATAACATTTTATTGGGACATATCGTATTGGCACAGTTTACTTTCCTGCCGGTTTTATACTCAATTAAAAGTAAAAGTAGGGATGCGGTGGCTCAGTGGCTAAGAGGTGAGCTTGTTGATCAGAAAGGTCGGCAGTTTGGCAGCTCGAATCCTTAGCGCCGCATAACGGAGTGAGCTCCCATTACTTGTCCCAGCTTCTGCCAACCTAAGAGTTTGAAAGCACGTAAAAAGTGCAAGTAGAAAAATATGGACCCCTTTGGTGGGAAGGGAACAGCGTTCCGTGCACCTTCAGCGCTTAGTCATGCCAGCCACATGACCTTGGAGACGTCTTCGGACAGTGCTGGCTCTTCGGCTTTGAAACGGAGATGAGCACCTCCCCCTAGAGCTGGAAACGACTAGCACGTATGTTCGAGGGGAACCTTGACCTTTACCTAAAAGTAAACGTATGTAACTTCCCCACAGTCATCAGTCACATGATCCAATCAGCACACAGTCTGATTGTTGGTGGCCTTCAGTCTTCACCTTCCAAACACCTGTGGCAACCAACGTCCTTGGTTCCCTGGGGAAATAATTTTATTTTGGCTACAGCATCCCAGTTATCTCTACACCCCCCTCCCTGCCCCTCAACTCCAGGCCGTGTCAAGCCTGAAGCCTCCGAATAAAGTCTCTATAGAAAAAACTACAGAAAAGAAAATGGCCACAGCCTGGTCAGCTTCAGGGTTGATGACACAATTGTAGTCAAAGCAGAATGCAAAATAGTTGAAAAAATGGTCCTTGAAATTAAATTACCGTCTGCCAGTTAAAATGGACCTCAGGAAACTTCATAAAAATCAAAAGTTTGTCTGAAAAATAGCCTATTTGTTTGTTGATTTGGCTTGCCAGAAAGCTCCAGTGTTTGGAAGAGGCCCTCTCTCATATTCCTGCCAAATACACCTCTAGTGTCAGTGTTGCACTCCAGCGGTCTTCTTCATTCAGTTCTTAAAATCTAGGCAGGGTTTCAAAAGGGAGGATTCGGTCTCTGAAACACTATATAGTCCCACACGATGTGCAGCTTTAGAGCTGATTGTGAGCAGTTTCATTGTCTCTTGGAACGGCCGGATTTCCCTGAAATGGTAAAAACCCCACGCTTCCCATTTCAAGAGTCTGCTGAAGATGAGCCCTGTACACATTTCAAAGGCAGCCCACGTTAAAGCACTTTGCTTCAGTTGTGCAACTGAAATACGTTGATAGCATTGCAGGCTGGCATCATGCCCCTCCCCATTTCTGCTTCTGCTAAGGCTGGGGGCCTGCAAGTTCTTTCTGGTTGACCTCTCAAGGGGTAGATTTTCACTCCCAGAATCCCCCAGCTATGCTGAGCATGATGGGAGCTGAATACCGAGAGATCTGCATCTGGACCGTCTCACCCTTCTGCCCACCCAAAGTTCAGCTAAAATACTCTTGACGTGGGTTAATATTTCCAGATGGTTTTGATCCTGGACTCTTCTGAGAGATACACAAATGCAATATTGAAATAAATTTCCATTTAACAGGCAAATGTCACTTTCTGACATTTTTATTTTCTGTCTGTTTCTCTTCCTGATCCACACAGCGCAGATGGGTGTTGGCGAAGGAAAATCCATTGGGGAATGGTTTGGACCAAATACTGTTGCCCAAGTACTGAAGTAAGCCAGCATGTGTATTCTGCAATATGTGTGTGGGATTTATACATGTCGTCCTCATTTAATGACCGTTGAAAGTTAGATCCCCAAAGGATACTTGTGACTCATCCTAAGATTGCACTCTGTCCCCACGGTCACAATTGTATTTGGGGCACCTGTCCACTGTGTCACATTCATTTTTTTCCCCACCTCAAGCACAAATCCAGAAGTGGTTTCCAAGTAGAAATAAAAGTATTTGTATTTTTTTCTTTCATCAAAACAGTCCATGTTGCCATCTCTGCTAACTCCATCAGTTTTTGCAACAACTGCAGTGATTCACTTAACAAATGTGGCAAGAAAAGTGGTAAAACGTGACAACTCATTTAACAAATTTCTCATTTAGCAACATAAAATCTGGGCTCCATTTGTCATCGTAAGTTGAGGGCTACTTGTACTGAGCATGCTTTTTGACTGACAGCTGTCTTGCTTTATTCAGGAAACTTGCACTCTTTGACGAATGGAATTCCTTAGCAGTTTACGTGTCTATGGACAACACTGTGGTGATCGAAGATATCAGTAAGTTTTTAACCATGGTCAGAACCTGAGCAAGTTTAAATCCAGTTTCATTTAAGCCTCATTTAGAATCCAGAAAAGAAAAAGAAAAAAACATGAGTCTAAACGCCTGGAAGAGCAAATCTCTAGGTCTGGTGACTGACCCAAATTCAACCTGGGAAATATTGCCTGTGGTTACCTGAATTAAAATTCCATTTTTTAAAAAACTTGTCTCATTTCTAGCTTATGGCAAACTGTGAACAAGAGAAGAGGAATACAGTTACCAGGATGAGGCCTATTATTTATTTATTTATTTATTTGATTTGCCAATTGTTTACAAGATAATAAGTATAAGTGTATACATAGTTGTGAATACATGAAATGGGTACATATAAGAAAAATAAAAGAATAAGAGAAACAATAGGACAGGGACGGTAGGCACGTTGGTGCGCTTATTCACGCCCCCTACAGACCTCTTAGGAAAGGGGTGAGGTCAATGGTAGACAGTCTAAGGTTAAAGTTTTTGGGGTTTGGGGAAGAGACTACAGAGTCGGGTAGAGTATTCCAGACATTGACCACTCTATTGCTGAAGTCGTATTTCCTGCAATCAAGTTTGGTGCGGTTTACTTTGAGTTTGTATCTATTGTGTGCTCTTGTGTTGTTATGGTTGAAGCTGAAGTATTCACTGACAGGTAGGACATTGCAATGTATGATTTTATATACCATGCTTAAGTCAGACCGAAGACGGCGTAATTCAAAGTTTTCTAGTTCTAGAATTTCAAGTCTGGTGGCATAAGGTATTCTACAACGAGTAGAGGAGTGGAGAACTCTTCTTGTGAAATATTTCTGGACTTTCTCAATTGTGCTAATATCAGATATGTAATGTGGGTTCCAGACTGATGAACTGTATTCGAGTATTGGTCTAGCAAATGTTTTGTATGCTCTGGTTAGTAGTGTGATATTACCAGAGAAAAAGCTACGTAGGATTAGGTTAACAACTCTTAATGCCTTTTTGGCTATGTAGTTGCAGTGGGCTCTAGCACTTAGATCATTAGAGGTGAGTATTCCCAGGTCCTTTACAGAGCTTGGGTCATCAACAAGATCTTGACTATTCAGCTTGTATTTTATTTTCTGATTTTTTTTGCCAATATGTAAGACAGAGCATTTATTTGTTGAGATTTGAAGTTGCCATTTGTTTGACCATTCGGATACATAGTCAAGATCTTTTTGTAGGGTAGCAGTATTGTCTGTGGTATTGAACAGCTTTACATCATCAGCGAAGAGAACGCAATTGCTCTTAATATGATCACAGAGGTCGTTTATGTAGAGTATGAAGAGAGTTGGTCCTAGAACACTGCCTTGGGGGACACCACTATTGACAGGTACTGGATTTGATAGGACGCTCCCGATTTTGACCATTTGTTGTCTGTTTGACAGGAGTGCTTCTATCCAGTTATTCAGCTGTCCAGAGATACCATAGGATTTTATTTTTAGGAGTAGTTTGTCGTGTACCTTTGCTGGCTGGGGATTTCTGGGAGTTGAAGTCCCCTAGGCTTAAAGTGGCCAAGGTTGGAGACCCCTGTCGTAGATAGTCTGTTTTCTCTCTTGTTCCCTCAAATGGAAATCAAATGGCACAGATATTTTTATTGCTAGCTGTTCTGCTGTGTGTGTATGTCTTTTTCAGTATTCAAGGAACTTTGAGGTGAAAAGGTTCCAAATTTAAAATGGCCCCTTTCCACATTGGAATGGTTGACCGGAGTTCTTCTGATCTCAGAATGGAGTACTGCAGCCTTTAGTTATGCCGTGAAATAGGAATGGCAGGGCTATTCTGAGAGCAACGTGGCTGCATCATGACCAAAATGCTTCCACCTTGAAAGGTTTTGCAGATTTCTAATCTTTCTTAAATGAAGGATCAACCCACATAGAATAATAACAGAAACAGACTCTCCCTATTTATTGAAGTCTTAAAATGCATCTGTTTGATATTTATAGCTTTCCTGACTTCCTTAATTGCAGGGAGGACCAGTACAGTTTTCTTAATTCTGGGTTCTTTTTGCAAAAAGGAGGGTTTGGCCTAAGCACCAAATCCCTGTGAATATGGAATTTCTCATTTATTTCACAAATCGGTAGAGCGGTCTGTTTCGGATTCATTTTCTTTGCTAAACTGGGACGTAGGCTGAAAATATTTCTAAGCAAGGTGAATAAGAGGGCGTGCATAAGCACACCAACGTGCCTACCGTCCCTGTCCTATTGTTTCTTATATATATATTTTTTATTTTTTCTTATATGTATTCATGTATTCCTAACTATGTTTTTACTTATACCTATTATCTTATATAAGCAATTGACAAATAAAAATAAAATAAAAGAATAAAATATTCTTTGGCCACTGACAAATTAATAAGGGATTGAGGAATAAGGGTTTCTTTTTTCTTTTTTTCCCTATCTTTTTCACCAGAAAAAATGTGCTGGGCCCCCCTCCAGGGTTGCCCCAGGTCTCACTGCAGTTCACTGTCCTATAGGAGCTCCGTCAACCCAGCCAAGACCTCAGGAGCTCCTGGTGGCAGCTGGAAGCCTCTGTTGCTGATCGTACCCCTTCGCCTAGGGATCAACCACATCAACCCGGTTTACGTCGATGCGTTTAAGGTAGACCTCTCTGGCAGAAGTTGTGGAGTAGCCAGTTGGCTTAAGGAAGGATCTCATCCATAAGAGGTCAACTGGTTTTTTTTAGACATGTGGACACACACATATAGGAATGCACATGCACACACACACACACACACACGTATAGCCATTGAAACACTGAAATGACCTGGATGGTCCAGGGTAAGAATTGATACAGGCAGTCTTCAACTTACAACCACAACTGAGCCCAAAATTTCTGTCGCTAAGCAAGAGTGAATTTTGTGCCCATTTTACCATCTTTCTTGCCACAGTTGTTCATCACTGCAGCGGTTAAATTAGTAAGACGGTTGTTAAGTGAATTTGGCTTCCCCATTAGCTTTGCTTGTCAGAAGGTTGCAAAAGGGGATCCCATGACTCCGTCATAAATAGGAACCAGTTGCCAAGCATCTGAATTTTGATTACGTGGCCATGGGGATGCCACAACGGTCTGTAAGCGTGAAAAATGGTCATAAGTCCCTTTTTTTTTTAGCACCGTTATAACTTTGGTCACTAAATGAACTGTTGTAAGTTGAGGACTATCTGTACTAGAAAAATGAACGTGCCTGATCATCGTTTCACTTCGTGAAAATGCTAAAATTGTATCAGATTTTTTAGGCCATCTTTAAAGTACCCAGTTTTAAGAAATCAATTCTGAGGTTCCATAAGCTCTTCATTGCGTAATTTCTAATTCACATCATCCTTCCTTATATTCCGAATGCACAGATAAGTAAGTCTAGTTTGGAGGTTAGTGACGTTTTTGCGATTGAGAAATGTAATTTATTTCTGCTTCGGCAGACATGGCAGGTTAGAATGTTCAGCTGTTTGGCTTTTTGGCAGGCTTGGAGAGTTCCCACCTCAAGTAGATTTGAGAAGCCAGCCTGGAGCTTAAGACATCTATTTTCCAACTTATTTTTCCAGGAAAACAGAAAAGTCATGCCTCTGTAATTCTGTGGTTTGCATATCTTTGTAAGAGGGCTTTCAGAAAACAGGTGGGGGTCGTGCCCTACTGGTCCCAAAATAAGCAGATTTTTACCTGGAGGAAGTAGATAATAAGCTGCCTTGAATTCCGTCGCTGAAGGAAAGAAGCACAAATAGTATATTTGGGGGACAGTAAGACATAAATATATTTTTTTCTTTCTCCTTTGGATCTTTAGGAATGCTTTAAGATGCCGCAATCTTTAGGAGCTTTAGGAGGAAAACCAAACAATGCCTACTACTTTATAGGATTTCTGGGTAAGGAAAAATGAAGTTGTTGCAGTAGTTCTATTGAAGGATTCTTCTAAATCTGAAGTAGCAAATAAAAACACCAGGGGAAGAGAAACCACAGTAAAGAGCATATACTGAAGATTGGAGTCCAGTCTATTCTCCACAGCCTCGTGCCTTGTAGGGAAGATTCACACAAGCCATATTCATCCCAGCTTGTTTCTTAGCTGAAGAGAGGAGTACTTTAGGACTTGATTTGAAGACTGAATCCCCACCCCCTTGTATGGAAATTCAGATTTGGGGCTTTAGCGGATCCTGGATTTTAGGTGGACAAAATCAATGTCCACCTGCAATGCAAAGCTGCCCGGTTTTTCCATTCCACTCATGGCTATCCAACCCCTTTCTTGCTTCTTCCTTGTAGGAAATGAATTGATCTACCTGGACCCTCACACCACCCAGGTCTTTGTAGATTCGGATGAGAGTGGTGCAGTTGATGACCATAGCTTCCACTGCCAGCAAGCCCCCCACCGGATGAAGATAATGAACCTCGATCCCTCTGTAGCATTAGTAAGTATTGTGATGGGGTGCAGTGAGGAGGTGGACAACACCCCACCCCACCCAGAAGGATGTGCCTTGTTCAGGAAATCCAACATAGGCAACAGGATACCAGTTACATTTTCAAAGAAATTTCTTGTTGAAATTGTGATAAATGGTTAACAAAGTTCTACTCTAGGCATTAGACCAGGGCTCTCTCCAAACTTAGCAACTTTAAGATTTGTGGACTTCAACTCCCAGAATTCCCCAGCCAGCCCACAAATCTTTAAAGCTGCCAAGTTTGGAGAGCTCTGTTTTAGACATTTATACAACAGATTAACCTATAGCCTAGTCTGCTTGTTTTGACAGTATATTATATTACGTACATTAAGCTGCTGTGATTTGTAAAAAAAAAAGAGTTTTGGATAGACCAAGCAATAGCTTAGCATGCCTTGTGAATACAATTGATCTGTGTATTTTGGCTTAGTTTTACTGTGATGAAAAAGCCATTTTGAATCTGTTCTGATTATTGTGTTTTGCATTAGCACCTAAGCTTACTGTTTCAAGGATGCCTAATAATAACAACTAATACCCTTCTGAGAGAATTGAAAAGAATGTATCATGACTAAATGTTTCTATCATTGGATTATTCCTTGTTTTTCCTTTCTAATATTCTTCAATTGTTACAGGGATTCTTTTGTAAAGAAGAAAAGGACTTTGATAACTGGTGTAGCTTTGTGCAAAAGGCAAGTATTAGGGAAAGCATAAAACTTGAAAATTATTACCATTTCTTGTTTTGTGTTTAACAGATTTACTATTAGAAGGATTGATAATAACCAGAGGGATAGAAAGATTGTAAGAGAGAGATTCATATTTGATGCTTGTTTATTCCATTGTACTGAATATTATTATAATTATTTTGTTGTTTCTTTGCTGTGCTGATATTTTTTAAAACTTGTCTTCCTGAAGAGCGCTTTACAAGCCTTCTGGAGTTTTGTGCGCTTAATATATATGGTGTTTTAAATGGAACTGTGATCTTGCATGAGTGATCCCAAAAGAAAGTCAGAAATAGAAAAATACAGCTATTACTTTCTAAAAATGGGTTTTCATTGGCCTGAAATTAATTCATTCCTTGTCTTTTAATGCCCTTTATTTGGTATTTAAGAACAAGATTTAAATAGAATAGTGAATTTGAACTTCTGATGCAAAAAAATAGCTCAAAAATGATAAATACCTAATTTTGGATTGTATTTTTTCATACAAAATTTAAACAATGTTAAACATAGAAAGGGCAGGAAGGCATGGTCTGTAGTCCCCAGCTCTTAAACATTCAGCATGGCATTTTGAATTCTTGAGGGTTGGGTGGTTAATAAGTTTGCTTAAGTGCTGCAATTTACAAATGGCATTTCCACCCTCCCAGGAGATACATAAGAAGCAGAGTCTACGAATGTTTGAGCTGGTTCAGAAGCACCCACCACACTGGCCCCCTTTCATACCTCCCACAAAACCAGAAGTCACCACCACCGGAGCAGGTAAAGGGGTGTTTCAAAGGGATTTCCTTCATTTCCCCCATTATGATACGAATGGATTCATTTTCTGCATTTACACAAAGCACCCCACTGCAAAAGAACCTCAGTTTAGCATGTTGTGTGAATGAAGCCCCAAGGATTATAACTGACCTAAGCCTATTTGGACACTTGGCCCCAAGGAGTAGATTTCTGAACAGCAGCTCCTTAAAGCAGTGGAACTTACTCCTTACTCCAGGGGTCCCCAAACTTGGCAACTTTAAGACTTGTGGACTTCAATTCCCAGAATTCTCCAGCCAACACAGCATAGCTGGCTGGAGAATTCTGGGAGTTGAAGTCCACAAGTCTTAAAGTTGCCAAGTTTGGAGACCTCTGCCTTACTCCTTGGAAAAGGTACAGCAATTGTTGGTGAGTGCTACTTTCATGCTCTGAAGCAACTTTTTGGAATCAAGGCCAAAGTTTGCTCGCTTGCACGAGCAAACTTCTTGTCCATTCCTTTTGGATCAAAAAAATTGTTCAACTGGGGTGAAGTCAACATTAAGCATCTGCTGACACCTTGTAAGCATATTGATACCATAACGGAAAGGACTAGAAGGGCGTCTTGTTGCGGACAGCTAAGTTATACTGGGAGACGTCCCTGCAGTCTCTGATGGGTTGATTTGTTCCTCACTCATTTGCTTTCCAACAGCCATTCTCCATCCAATTTCCCACCTATAAGTAGTCCTCGAATTACAATGGTTCATTTAGTGATCAACATTACAACGGTTGCGGGGGGGGGGATTTATGACCATTTTTCACACTTACGACTGTTGCAGCATCTCCATGGTCGCAGGATCAAAATTTGGATGTTTGGCAACTGGTTCATATTTATGACGGTTGCATTGTCCCCGGATCATGGCAAGAGAAGTCAGTGGGGAATCCAGATTCACTTAACAACTGTGTATTGCTGACTTTAACAGTGAATTAACAGAACTGCAGAAAGGTGGTCAAATGGGGTGAAATTCACTGAACAAAATTTTTTTGGGCTCAGTTGTGGTTGTAAGTCAAGGACTACCTATAGTTAGAGGAGTGCAGTTTTGGTGTTCCCAGCTTGAATGAGGGAGGTTTTTATATAAGAGCCAGCCTGTTTTTACAAAGAAATCCAGTTTCTCCATTTTCCTTAGAGCTCATTGACTCCACGGATAAGCTGTTTGAAATGGAAGAAGAATTTGAGATCTTGAGCGTATGAAGGCAACCTGGCGGAGTAAAACCACAGCGCCTTTCTCACCCTGAAGTGCCTGCCTGTGAACAGACCCGAGACCTCAGGAGAACAGTTCCCCAAAAAGCACTTCTTGAGAAGGGCATGGATCCTGGTTCCCCAGCCCCTGTGTTTGTCCACCCCACCCCCCACCCCCGCTTCTCCCCAAGGAAAGAATCTCGTCTGCGGAAGAGCTCTCAAGAGAACCCCGAAGCAAGAACTGGCTCGTCATATTGCTGAGAACGGTCTTGCCAGCCTCAACAATAGCCGGATGGTAATTATAATATTATGCAATAGCTTTGCTCCCACAGAAGGCCTGACACCTTGTCAAGGAGAACGTTCACCTCTTGTTCCTTCAATGGACAATATTTTTTAGGAGTGAATGTCATTGCCTTGTTTTCTTTTTCAACTATTCGGGTGAAAGCCATGCTTTTTATTCAATCTCCACACATTTCTTGCCACAGCACTTGGAAACCCCAAAGTGTTTTTATGGAAGGACACGTATAAAAAGTGCAATTTTTCAAAAACGTTTCTTGTTTCTAGGAAATACATTAATATAAGCAGAGGACTGGAAGGCAAACCTTTCGATTCCTCCCGTGTTCTTGCAACATACAGAAGGTCTCTTTACAATTATGATGACCCTTTTTCACTTTGACTTTTAACTTCAAATCATTATTAAACCTCTTTTGCTCTTGAGTAAAAGAAAACATGTTTTTGTTTCAACTGTATCTTATTTATTTTAAATTAAACATTTACATGTTTCCCCTTGTTAAGAGCACTTTATTTGTGCATCTCATTTCTTAACTGTTGAATAGGTTGGATGCCAGTTTGGGGGGGGGGGGGGGGGGGGGGGGGGGGGGAGTTGGAGCGTTTTAAGAACCAGAGAAAAGCTGTTGGCCTCAGTTTTCTGATTGTTTTCTGCCCTTGATACGGTTATGCTTTCCAACAGCCATTCTCCATATTCACTCCACATCACGTGGCAACATAGGTGACTAATTACATTAACCATCACTACACTGGCAGATTAAAACATGGTGTAAGCTAGTGCCATTATCCTGTGCAGAATTAAATGCCTTATTGGTGGGAGTTTGTATCTATAGGCAGACCTTAACTTACAACCATTTGTTTAGTTCAAAGTTACAACGGCACTGAAGAAATTTGACGTACAAGAAGTATTCACACTTACAATCATGGCAACATCTTCAGGGACTCATGCTCAAAATTTAGGCCCTTGACAAGCAGCATGTACAGACAATCCTCAACTTACGACCACAATTGAGCCCCAAATTTATGCTGTTAAATGAGAAATTAGTGAAATGAGTTTTGCCTCATTTTACTTTTCCTGCCACATTTGTTAAGTTGAAATCACTGCAGTTGTTAAGTTACTAACTCGGTTGATCTGGCTTCCCCGTTGTCTATGCTTGTCAGAAGATTACAAAAGGGGTTCCCATGACATGACCGTCATAAACATGAACCAGTTGTCCAGCATCCAAATGTAAATCACGTGATCTTGGGGGTGCTGCAATGGTCGTAAGTGTGAAAAACGGTCATAAGTCGCTTTTTTCAGTGCCATTATAACTTTGAACGGTCACTAAATGAACTGTTGTAAGTCGAGGACTGCCTGGTATTCATGATGGTTGCAGCATCCCAGGATCATGGGATCTCTACCTTTCCAGGTGTCTTCTGACAAGTCACAGGACAAAGTGGATTCATTCAACAACTGCGATGATTTGCTTAAAAGTCATAAAATCAGGGACAACTTAACTGCCTTAGCAACTGAAATTCTGGTCCCTGGTTGTGATCATGTTGAAGACTGTTGTATTCTTCAGACTTAGTAATATGCAGTGGTGTTTGACCACAACACCTGTTTGTTTAGTTCATCACTGTTCAAAGTTACAGTGGTGCTGAATGAAAAGGGGAATTTATTACCAGTCCCGGCACTTCCGACGCTGCAGTGTTCCTGCGGTCACGATTGCAATAAGGTGCTTGGCAACCAACACGTATTTGTGATGGTTTCAGTGTCCTGGGGTCACATGTTCATCATCTACCCAAGCAGCTTGCGACAATAAAATTGGACACGACTTAAAGTTGAGTGTGCATTGCTTAGCAACAGAAGGCCCAGTCTCAATTGCGGTCATGAGTCAAGAACTATCTCTACTTTCCAAATATGGAACCTGCCAAGAGTTGGCCACCAAGAGTCAACATTGCCTGTATATTTGGGAAAAATTAATATAATTGTGGGCAGAAGATAGCATCAGTCCAGCTATTCATGAGCTTTTAAAGAGTTGATCCTTTTTTTAAAAAAGGGGAGTGGAATTTTAAAGTACAGTATGGTTATGAGAATTTTGTTCCCCAAATTGTAAGTTGAGACAGGTTTACTGATATCCTTTTCTGTGTTTGCTTGATTAATATAGTCCTTATGTAGAACTGGGACTCCACTCGTAAGCCCAATTTCTGTTTTACGCATTCAAAAATTTCTTCCAAAGTCTATTTAAATCTGAACATCATCATCTCTGTGAAAATTGCCTTTTCCTTTGGTCAAGACCTAAAAGTCCTGGAGGTTTTTAAGAAGATGGACAACAAACTCTTGCTGATAATTTAATGAGTGTTTTTGGTCACTGAAGAAAGTTGATCTACACGAACTTTTGGATCCTTTCTAACTCCTCAATTCTATTTTGGTCACCAAAGCTTAATATAAATCCACTCGACAACTTACACTTCTTAAAAACGTGCCTGGAGAGAGTTACAAAGCTTATTGTAAGGAGGCAGTGGAATATAACTCACAAAGTGGACGTGTTGTTTTACTACTTTTTAGAAAAAAAATAAGAGTCAAAATATAATCAGTGCTCTGAAGATACTTTCAGCAGTGCATTACAAAATGCAAGACTAGTAAAAATAAAATCAAGAAAACCATAATATTGGCAGATAAGTCAGTTCATCCAACTTCTACTCAGTGTTACATTTACCTAAAAGTAATTATTTAATACTATACTAATTATTTCAAGCACCAGCAATTCCAAAGCTACCTCAAAAAAAAAAGAAGAAGAAGAAGAAAAAAAGAAATATTGTGGAAATGAAATCCAGGACATGCAACATGAATTTTCTCATATCATGTACAATTAGAGCACAGAGACAGTTGAAGTAATGATCTTTGAAACTGTTTTTGTTAAAGATTAGTAACTGTTGCTCCAGCTTGTAGACCTATTGCAAATGGAGTAATATGTCTGCTATATAAACATAAAGGTCCTGTGCCAACATCTGTAATAGTGGATCAGCATCTCACGGCTGTATAAAGTTGGAGAACATTTGTATAACCTGAATATCAGTAGGCTATTAAGGAATTAAGAAGATAGTCTTCAAAATAATTGTGTTGACCCGTTCACCAAGTGGAAACAGATGGACTAAGGCTGTAAAAACAGCTTGTAGAAGAAAGGACCAAATATAATGTAGAACCAAGGGAGTCAAAGGGTTAAGCAGGGCAGACACTACTCAAGGTGGTGAGCAAAGACACAGATAGTAGATCACAGCTCAGCCGACAAAGAAGCATCATTGAGTTAAGCTCTGAGAGAAATTAGAAAACATGCTAATTTACTAATCCACTCCTTCCCAGCTAGAATACCAGAATAATTTATGAGATGGAAACTAAGCCTTTCCTGTTTTCAGTATTCTTAGCCAACAGAATGGTAGCCCAGGAGGTACCCTTCAGCCTTTCTACTTAGCAGTTTTTAACATAGTTTCCTTTAGTAAATCATCTTAATATGTTCAGTTGCTTACTAGTCCACTAGGGTGAATTCTGCCTCTAACTTCTTTGGGTGATCCTATGAGCTGGATCTCTACCATTCTCTTTCCTTTTCACTCCACCACTTCTGAATAATTCTTCTGTTGGTGAATTAACCATAGCTATGACTAAGCCGAGGGATGATAGTTATCAGAGTGGAACACATTAACTGTTCACAACTGTTACTTGAAGTTGGTTTGCTACCCACCTAGTTTCTCAGTCTGGATGCATCATGAAACTATGATGCACGAGCCCAGAAAGCATTCAGATGTCCCAACACAGAAAGGAAGGAGTGGTCTCATCAGATAAATTCAAGTCATATTTTGGCATCTGAGCCAAGATTTGTCATTGTCAAGAGGGTCTGTGATTAGCACCACTGAATGCCACAAAAGAATACTACTTGCGGTACATTAACAAATAAGCCGAGAGGTTCTGAAACATTCGTAAGAAAACCTTACACAGAGTAGCAACAATGCTGGATTAACATTCTTGGGCTGAATAATCAAGCAGGTGAAATCAAATTGCACCATCCCTATAAAAATTCTTCATCTTCAAAAGATGCACATTATCATTCTTTTAATAGGCCTGTTCCTCGTGTTATGGATGAAAATCCCACTATTTTCCTCTCCTAACAAGTTTCTTTTATTTTATTGTCACTTCACTGTTTAATAGGCAAGCTTTGATCAATGTTGTTAACTGTTTCACAAACCTGAACCTTCAAATCTGATCATAACCATTGATCATAGAACAGAAACACTTCTAGACAGCCAACTAAGTTATTTTTAGGCCTAAAATAAGCAGCTAACTTAAGATGAATATAATGATTATAAGTGTGTGCATGCAGGCAAACACATTTGTGAAATTCCTGACATTGTCTTGAATCGTTAACACGAAAAGACCTTAAGAGTCATAATCTTGAGAAGAAATCTTTGCTCAAGATCCGTGTATCTTGTGAAAATCAGTGAATGTGGCAGTTGAGAAGGCAGAAAAGGGCTTTGAGGTAGCCAGGAAGATAAAAACAAGGGGGAAAGATAGCACCATATTTTGATGGAGACGAGCGCTCTGGGGGAGATTTGGGAAGATGGCAATTGCCCAGCTGGGACACAAATGCTGATTTCTTGGTCTTAGAAGAATAAGGTCTTGCGTCCCGGCCTTCGCTACAAATTTTTCATGCAGACTTGGCACCGTCCCACCCGTGTCCGGAGCTGACCCGCCTTCAGCGTTTCGGAGACGGGAGACTCAGCAAACTGATGGTTCACCTCCACCGTGGTCAGCCAAAAGCTGTACTTGTTGGAAAAGTAATGGCACGTTCCCCGGGCACCGTTGCACTCAATGAAAGGCGTGGCGCGGAAGTCCTCTAGGCAGGATCCGGGAGAGACCAGGGACTGGCCACCGCCTTCGGGAGCCGTGTGCTGAAAGAAAGCACCCCGAGAGAATGATGGTGCAAAGAATCGTATCAACTGCTACGGAAGGTCAAATGCAAATATCTGAGTCAACAGTGCCCTATAATGGCCAGTTTCTGAAGTGGGAAAAATCAGCATGGCTTGGCCCAGTTGACCGCAGGCAACTGGCTTCGAGAGTCACAGCCAAATTCGAATCACTGGAATCAAAAAGAGACTGGGCCAACATTTGACCAGGATGGTATAAGGCAGAGGTCTCCAAACTTGGCCATGCTATGCTGGCTGGAGAATTCTTGGAGTTGAGGTTGGAGTCAGGGTTGCCAGATCGCAGTTTGGCTCTGCGGCCAAACTCAAGTCAAAATACGGCCAAATTCGGCCAAATTATTTTTTGCTCATGGTGACGCGCATGCGCGAGGGAAGGAGAGCGGCTGGGTTGCCATCTGGCCAATTTCACGGCCAAGCAACTTTCGTACGGCCAAATTTCCGGCCAAATTGGCCGGAGACATCATTTTTTCCACCGCCAAGCAGATAGAAATACGGCCAGATTTCTCGAATTTGGCCGGGAAAACAGCCAGATGGCAACCCTGGTTGGAGTAGAAGCCCCATGATTCTAAGCTCATACGAAAATTGCTATTTTGTTTTCCCTGCTGTTGAAAGCCTCATTGGCTGTGGCCAGGCAGGCTAGGAAAGTTTAAAAAGTAAAGACTCTAACAAACAGCAAAGCCTCCTTTTTAAATATTTAACCCAATGAACTCGCCCCGAAATTAAAGGCGTTAAAGTGCAATCCCAAAGATAACTGGTCTTTCTTGGGGGGGGGGGGAGTTTTTTCTTAGAAAAAGTTTTGCTTTTCACCCAAGAAGCTTCTTCAGTTCTAGTTATGGGTAACCACTATAAATCCTTACTTTTATTTGACCCAGGATACATAATGTGGTATGTGGAGCTCCATCCAAGGATTTAGCTGAATTGGCTAAGGACTGTTTCTCCTGTTCTCCAGCATCTGTTGCCATAGGGGGCTGCTTCACTTTGCCTAATCATAGGAGCAGCCCCTAAGTGAGGTGTAGCACGCTAGGCACCTTATATATCCTGCCCACCTACTACTCTTTTGCAATGCCTCCTTGGCCTCTAATTTGGAAACTTGAGGAGGCAAGTATCTTTCAGGAGGCTGGAGATCATATGATCATGTTTAATATTAAATAATAACATGCTTATGAGACTGCTTTGTTCCCATATTGTATTTGAGTATGGGATTTCGAAGCAAAAATGTGAAATAGGAAGCAACTTCAATGCAGGACATCCCCTTTCAACTGTGTTTTATGGGATAGCTGTGATGTTATGAAATATGAAACTGCCTGTGCCCCTTTTTCCCTTTGGTCGTTTTGAAACGTTTTCCAAGAAAAAAAAAACTCCAGTTTTTTTTTTCTTGTCCTGTTGGCTGTTTGGAAAAAGCACCTTTGGGATAACCATGATATGGATGATTAAGAACCTCCATACACACTTGGCCATTAAGTGGCAATTGGGAAGAGGCACTGGTGGCCTGAAGATCTCCCAGCTAGACAGGCCATGCCATGCGCTCTGTGGATAGGTGCTCTTGTGCATATATGCACTGAAAGGATATGTTCATTCCCACACGCGGCCATCCCTTCTGGGATTTCTTACCATGAGGAAGGAGTAGCCAATCCAGAGACTCCGCCAGCCTTCGGGACATTGTGGAATGGTGATGTCCTGGCTGTGCACAGCCACAGCTTGGGATGGTGCTTCGCACACCGAGCAGCGACTGATGTACTGGGCGATTTGGTAGCTGCTGACGGGCATCATGGGTATCGGAGCGGTGGTGGAAAGCCAGTACGATTTATCATTGCGGCTGGCGTAGTAGCACACTTCGTCAATGTTGCAATAAATAAAAGGCATGGTGCTGAAGCGAGGCAGGCAGGAGCCAGCGAAACCTTGGAGAATGGAGAAGCAAAACATGGGGTGGAGCATTAAGAAGGACTCTCATTTCTGCGACGGTCAGAATACAGGTAGGTCCTCAACTTACGATCATAACAGAGCCCCAAATTGGTATTGCTCAGGAAGGGAATGGTTATGTGAGTTTTGGCCCACTTTATGACCGTTTTAATCACAGTTATTAAGTGAATCACTGTAGTAGTTGAGTGAATCATGTAGTTCTTAAATGAATCTGGCCTCCCCCATTGATTTGGCTTGTTGGAAGCTGGCTGGGAAGGATACAAATGGTGATGACATGAACAGTGGAGCAATTATAAGTACATGCCAGTTGCCAAGCGCCCGAATTTTGATCACGTGACCTTGGGGAGGCTGCAACGGTGATATAAGTGTTAAAACCAGTCCCGTCACTTTTTCCAGTGTGTCGCAACTTTGAACAATCACTAAACAAGTGGTTGGAATTCAAGGACTGCCTGTAAGCGTGGTGTGTTCAGAAGCCAGCTGCCTGAAAAGTCTCAGCTCCTTGACCTAAGATCACAACTGGGACTGGGATTCGGGGAAGCAGCCTGGGGTAACTTTAAAGATGAGTTGTAAATCTGTTGTAACTTAGAACAGTCGCTAAATGACTGGTCATAAGTCTGTCATGATTGCATAACACTTCATTCTTCAGTTAGACTGTATTAGGCCATATAGACAACTTTGGGACTGTAATTAACACATTTATTGGACTTCCTTTCCTTCCCTTCCCCTCCCTTTCCATCTCTCTCTTCTTCTGTTCCTTTTCTTTCCTTTCATTTTTCCTTCCCTTCCCTTCCCATCTCTCTCTTCTTCCTTTCCTTCCCTTTCCTCTTCCCTACCCTTCCATTCCCCTCCTTCTCCCTTCCCCACTCCTTCCCCTTCTCCTTCCCTATTGCAAAATCATCTTCTCTTTCATGAATGGAGGGATGCTTTCCTGCCCTCTTATTTTTCTGTGGTTTCCCCCTTTTTTCAGCTGGACACGTGGCTCACCCAGGTCTTGATTGTGGGACTTCTCCTGGCCCTCCACATACAGCAAACTGTAGCCTTCCCAGAGTTTGTTCATGCCCACCGGACAGGGTGGGATCTGCTCCGACTGGCTATGTTTCACCAAGGTATAGCCAACCCCAATGCTACGACCTGGCATCCCGGGCAATCCAGCCAGGCCTGGATTCCCAGGACGTCCTGCAAAGAGAGATCAGTCATTAATCAGACATTATCTGACAGTTTTTATAGCACTCCCAAGTCAAAAGATGCTAATATATGTCAACTTACCTTCAAACCCTGGTAGCCCTGGAGTTCCTGGGGAACCTGGGTCTCCTACCACACCAGGTGGACCTGGTAAGCCATTAAATCCCATCTGGCCAGGTATGCCTGCTTTTCCTTTTGGACCTGGTCATTAACATAAAATGTTTGTCCCATTCATTTATGATAACCGTTTCAATTCAGAAGTCACAAAAGATGGATACCCTTAAGAACAAGACCAGATTATCTTGGCTTGGAATCAGATACATCTAGTCTAATGAAGAGAAGGACTAAGGGACACATGACTGCTGTCTTCCAATATTTGAGGAGAGCTGCCGCAAAGAAGGAGGGGAAACTCAACCTATTTTCCAAAGCACCTGAGGGCAGGCCAAGAAACAATGGATGGAAACTAATCAAGGAGAGAAGCAACCTAGAATCAAGGAGAAACTTCCGGACAATGAGGACAATTAATCAGTGAATTTGTCTGCCTCTGGAAGTTGTGGATCCTTCATCACTGGAGGATTTTAAGAAGAGATTGGACAACCACTTACATGAAATGGTATAAGTTGGACTAGAACAGTGGTCGCCAACCAGTGTGGTCCCCGGAAAAATTTTAGTGGTCCGCAGAGAAATGTCACCCGCAAAACAATTAATCCAGGCTGTGTGAGAACACAAGGCTGTGCTGGCCACATGGCCCGCGGGAACACAAGGCTTGCATCCCTTGCATTGCACACAACATGAGGTAGTGAGGGGAGGGGGGAAGGGCGAAGGGGGGGAACTTGCTCCACTCGCCCCATGCGCCTGGCCTGGCCACTGGGCTGCTTCTTTCCGCTTCTCTCTTCTGCTTTTGGTTGCACACAAGGAAAGCAGCAAAAGTATTTCTTTCTTCCCCCCAAACTCTGCCAGAAATGAGTCTTTGGGACCCTGCAAGGCCTCCTGCTCCAAGAGGCTGAGCCGGTACAACAAGTCTCACAAAGACTCGTTTCTGGCGGAGTTTGGAGGAGAGAAAGAAAGTCTTCTGCTGCTTCTGCTGCTTTCCTTGCATGAAGCCAAAAGTCTCAGTCTCTTTCTCTCTCTCTCTCTCTCTCCCTCCCCGAGAACAGAGCTGCTGACAGTATCCTGCAATCCCAAATAAAGAACGATTGATCTGTAGGAAAACAGGGTGAGGGATTTTCCTGCAGACTTTTGGGGGGGATTCTCCCAAGGTCTCTGGTCCGTGGGATTTAAAATTATGAGTTTGGTGGTTCCTGAGGTCCAAAAGGTTGGCGACCCCTGGACTAGAAGACCTCTTCCAACTCTATTAGTCTGTTATTCTGTTTTTACAAAGAATAAAAAAACAAGCTCTCATTAGGTTTTCTCTTAGAAGCCAGTATTCAGAGCATTCTGTTTTAAGCCTGAAGGTCTTTGTAAATAACCACAGGAAGATGGATCCTCCAAGGATCTTTTAGAGACCACCTTCTCCAGAGTACCAGCTTTGCATGCCCCCATTTCTATGGACAATGTAACTTGTTTTACCTTGTGGTCCAGTTTGCCCCTGGAAGCCAGGGTCTCCATTTAAACCAGGGTTGCCATTATTTCCAGGCAATCCTATTAAGCCAGGAGGAACTCTGATCTCTTCTGGTGGTTGGGTTACGCCTGTAGCTCCTTGCAGCCCAGGAGAACCTATATAACACAGAGGAAGGGTGACTTGTAAAATGACGTTCATGGGGTATCCTACCAATTTGGTTAGAAAATCCGAGGTCATATTTTTCTGTCACTATTACAGTGCGCAACCTGCAACAATCATGCAATGAATTGCTAAAGTGTAGAATGTTCCTCCCTTCCAATTGTTTCTCCTGACTTCAATCTGCAGTGAAAGATGTCCCAACCTAGAGAATCCACCACATCTTCAACTTTTTAAAAAAGACCATAGTAAAAAAAAAGAGAGAGATCTAAAATAGATCAAGAATGCCTGAGAAAGAAGAGGAATGTCCTATAAAATGGCACGTGTGTTTGTCTGGAACCCCAAATGTAGCACCCAGGGAAGCAGTGACCACGTCTGGACCACCATGGCCTCCTGAACTGATATAGGAAGCAAAGTTGCCTAAATTCTGAACTTCGGTGAACATCTCTACCATAACTTCAACTTCAAAACAAACTTGAATTTGGGGTTCATCCTAGATTCCAGGATGATGTCAAGCCCAGTAAAATTAGGGAAGCAAGAACTATAGAATAGAGATTTCGGGAAGACATCTTATGTGCTCAACATTGCCTGGGTGGAGTTCAATGTATGAGATATGGACCTTCAGCCCCTGAATCGCTTGTGTCTGCTTTTTCCTCCATTCGTTGCCTGCTTTCTCAAAAACAGTACATAGCTTAATCATCTGTCTGATGCTCATGCAGTAGTTCTCAACTTATAACCATAATAGAGTCTGCCCATTACAGTCGTAAATCATAAAAGTTGTAAAGCAGGTCACCCAAGTGGTCAACTTGACTTTATGACTTTATTTTTGCAGTGGCTATTAAGTGAATGTGGAGATTGTAAAGCAAACCGATTGTTTGCTCTGGGCTGGTTTTGCTAAAAATCAGAAGTAAATGATGGGATTTTGACAAAAACACTCTAAAATGTGGTCATTTGACCATCAGATGCTATAAATGGGTACTGGTTGTCAAGAGCCTAAAATGTGATCATGTGACTGCAGGGAGTAAGGCCACTGGAATCTTGAGACTGGGAAGGTTAATAGTAACTTCTTCAAGGGATTGCTGTGTGATCAGCTACATAAATTGAGGACTACCTGTATGGTTTGATCTGGAGTTACGTGCATTTGCCAAGACTTACCTGGAGGGCCTGCTTTGCCTTTTGGCCCAGGGAAACCTGGATCACCTGGCAGTCCATCTTTCCCAGGCATTCCCATGAAACCTGCATCCCCTCTGAATCCTAAGAAGAAACGAGAAAGATCCAGAGGTTGACTTTTGAACCAACCTTCTAAACTAGACAGAGGTTGGCTGCTAGAAAGGTCCATTGATTGACTTCTGCTGGTGACCTTCTACTGCTGTACCATAGTGAGCATTTTAACTTACTACACCTGTGTATGGTTTGCCAATTGCACAGTGGCAGATAGGAAAGCACCCCAGAGGGTTAATGTCATTGCCCAGAAGATCTTTGGTTGCCCTCTCCCCTCTTTGGAAGAGCTTTATAGCTTCCACTGCCTTAAGAAAATTCAAAACATTCTCAAAGATCCATCTCATCCTGGGAACCCTTTCTTTTTTCTTTTTGAACTATTACCATCTGGCAGACGGTACAGAATAATAAAAACAAGGACAAGAAGGCTGAAAATCAGCTTCTATCCCAGAGCAGTAACTATATTGAATTCTACTGTATAGTGCAATATCAATTAATTAATGCAATATCAGGTTTTCAATTCAACTGTATAGAATGTGAAGGATGTGTGTTTATGTTTTATTTTTATAGTTATATGTACACTGAAGATGGCATTTAATTTCGTTGTATGAAGTGCAATGACAATAAAGCAAACTAAAACTAAATGAAGCAGAACTGAAAATTCATCAGATTCGGCAGCTTGTCTTTTGTAACTTTTTGGCAAACACCGAAGTTGCTCTGATATCCCTTGCCAGACTATATGACAAAAAACGGGAACCCAATTTGGAGGCCTTTGAGGATAAATTCCTCATTTTTACTCTTCTTGTAATCCCTTAATTCAGGGTAGAGTTGAGGTGACTGAAAGGAGCTGAGCGTTTACTGGCCAGATGCCCTTCCTGATGCTGTGTGGAGTTTGCAGTAAATATTTTCTGTTTGCCCCTGAGAAACGTGTGCCACTACCTAGGGTTGAGCCTTCATAATACTCGTCAGGCTCCAAAAACCAAGAAAGATATACTGAAGTTCTCAGCAGTTTCCTTTATGGTTCCTCACCCATAGACAGACTCTTGCCAAACTAAAGCAAACTACTTACACTATTAAATATATATTGAGAACACCTAGGGGGGAGTCGTCTTCACCCTCTTTCTCCCACACAAACTATGTAAACTTCATTGTGTCTTGCTTATCTGGAATGTAGCCCCTCCCTCTTGGGAATCCAGACTACATTCCGCTACATCTCCTCACCTTTGAAACCTGATGCGCCAGGGATTCCGTTAAGTCCAGGGATGCCTGCATCGCCTTTGAGGCCTGAGAAGCCCGGAGGACCAGTGCGGCCTGGATTACCTCGATCACCTTGATTGAAGGCTGGTCCTGGTGGTCCTGGTGGTCCACGAGGTCCTTTGAAGCCTGGGTAAAGAAGAACCAAGGAGATGTAGTTTCCAGTCAGTCCTTGGTCTGCTGAGAGCTCTGTTATACAAGAAACCTTGAACTCATTCCAGCAGCTCCAAATCCTGAAATTGTATCCATGGGTTGCCTAGAAAGTTGTTGAGAGGCCCCTTTAAAAATGATTGTAGGTAGTTCTCATTTAGCAACCATAATTGGGGGCGGCCTCTTGGTCGCTAAGTGAAACCGTAACGGTGCTTATTATGATCTGGCTTCAGTTTTCCTTTGGTTTACAGACCTGAGAAGGTCATAAATGTGAGGAGTGATCACAAAGTTATTTTTTTTTTCATTCCTGCAAATAGTGGCTAAATGAGGCAGTTGCTAAACAAGGACTACCTGTATTAAAAAGTAGATCTTCCAACATGGCTACTTTATGTCCAAAGCACCAAATGAAAGGACCTTAGCCCATTTTCATTTGGCCCTTCAGAGAAGGCTAATAAAAAATAACAAAACATCTGGAGCATCACTTGAACACTTATTGGCATTGGCAAAATCGACCATCCATCAGTTGCAAAGGACAGCTTTGTTTAGAACAGATTATTGATTCCTGCCACTCATACCATCCACTTTCCACATCTGCCTATCTCAAGTCCTTAGGATGGACGCGATAGGTGGATAAAAATCCCAAATAGGATCTGAACATCTGGCTGAGTGTTGACCAACCATAAGAAAAACCATAACCACAACACATAACTTTTCTTGTATTTGGAGACAGCATGAATTCCTGGTAGGCTCAAACACCTGACAATCCACCAGAGCTCAGAAATTAGTGACTTTAAGAGACCTGGAACCAAACGCATGTTAGTTATGTTTCCCCAGCATGCTTGGCGTGGAATTAAACCATTATTCTAGGTTTCAGCAATACATTGAACGAAAAGTTAACCTTAGGGGTTGAGTTTGTTCATCAGGCTAAGCCACAGCTAACCAAGTTTAATATGTCCTGGGAATGCAGGTGCTAGTTTTGTGAATTTCACTGTTGTATACAATTTATATATACGTACAATGGCAATCAAGAATTCAATTCAATTGTAACATGTTATGTGACCGCTGTCATTATCTCATGATCCAGCTTAATTTTTCCTTGTGACCTTTTTTTCCGTAAGTAAATAAAGTTATCGTCTTTTTTATGTTTTAAAGTAGGGTTTCATGGGCTTTATTTCTGAACCAGAGTGTGTTCAGTCCTGGTTATTAAATAAATGACAACTGGCTGAATTTGTAACTACTCCAGACCATAAATCATGACTTATTAGCCACAGTGGTTAGATTCACACATGCACAAGATGTCAATGCATCAAATATTTCTATGGTCTTTTTAGAGTTGCCAACAGAAAGGGAGGGAAGAGCAGTGTAGCAGATTGCAAACAGAAACTGCATTCTATAAATGTTTTCAAAGATAGTAACTAGGCGACTGAAGTTTTTGCTGTGCAAAATTCTAACTGGAGAACATGATTGATGATTCTAGGCTATGGATGTGTCCCATTGGAGAATATGAATTATGATACACCCAGGGAGTCGGGGGAAAACCAGGGTCAAGGGTGACAATGAATGATGTGTCTCAGAGTTGGCTACACCCAGGCAATGCCGGGACATGTTAACTCCCAATAAATCCTTTTGAAGTTTTGGAAGTTTGACTCGAGACTCATGATTTAAATGGGGAGGGGGGGTAATTGCCGGAATCCTGACACAAGGAGGCTACCCCAGCATGTTTGTAAATGAGGTCTTCCTGTAAAAACCCATCCCCAAGCTCGCTACTTCCATACCTGGCAGCCCATCTCCTCCAGGACGTCCCGCATCACCAGGCTTCCCAGGAATCCTTGAAGGCACAGAGATGCCAGGGGGGCCTCGCACACCAGGGACACCTGGGCTTCCAGGAAGACCTAAAATGACATAAACAAACTTTCCTAGACTCTATAATTGACTAAGTGATGGTCATGTTGAATTTGAAACTGCTGATTCTGCTTAGAGGAAAAGGCCAAAAACAACGAGGCAGATCCAGAAGATGGAGTGACAACATCAAAGGCACCCTACTGAGGCCCCCAGAAATGCAAGAACCAGACCTTTCGACACCTGAAGTGGTAAAAGAGAAAGAAGAAGAAGAAGGAGAAGGAGAAGGAATTCTGCTACCGTAAGTATCACTATCCGTGGACAATCTCTCTCTCTCTCTCTCGCTCTCTCTCGCTCTCCCTCAAAAAAGGCAACCAAATACGAACTGGGCATACTCAGAGGAGCTACAAACGTTCAGGGTTTGGGAGGAAAATTAGGCACGGGGAAAAGGAGAATGCAATGGAATATCACAGAAGAAAATATGGCTAGATGGAACTCAGGAAAGATCGTGCATGCTTCTTACTACAGCTTATGATCCTTCTTCCTCCATCAACAGCCAGTCATGGCTTCCACACTCACCCAAATATATTGTCCGAACAATTACAGGGGGTAAGTAGAGTTGGACTAGATTGGTATTTGATGAACCGTGGTGGCGCAATGGTTAGAATGCAGTACACAAGCTACTTTTGCTGACTGGCAGCTGCCAGCAATTCTCAATTCAATTCTCACTGGCTCAAGGTTGACTAGGTAAACCACTTAGACAGGGCTGTAAAGCACGGTGAAGTAGCGTATAAGTCTAAGTGCTATTGCTGTTTGGCTATTTGGCTAGAGGACTACAGGTAGCCCTCAACTTACAACAGTTCATTTAGTGACCGTTCAAAGTTACAATAGCAATGAAAAATGGGGCTTAGGACCGTTTTTCACAGTTATGACCTTTGCAGCACGATCATGTGATCAAAATTCAAATGCTTGGCAACTGGTTCAGACTTACGACCATTGCTGTGTCATGTCATCACTTTTTGTGACCTTCTCACAAGCAAAGTCAGTGGGGAAGTCAGGCTCATTTAACAACCGGGTTACTAACTTATCAACTGCAGCGATTCACTTAGCAACTTGTGGAAGGAAAAGTCAGAAAACTCACTGAACAAATGTCTCACTTAACAACACAAATGTTGGGCTCGTAAGTTGAGTACTACCTGTACCAGTTTCAGTTCACAGCTGTAGGCCAGGCAAACAAAAGAAGGGAAAAGAAACCCAGAAAGCAGCAATGGCAGATTATATCTGCGCACATTGCCAAGACATCAACATGGATGTTATCATAAGGCATGAAGCTTGCCTTTTCTTTCCAAGATTAATTCTGCCAGTGAATTTATCTGAACCCTCAGAAGAAGAGATTCTCCTCATTCTCAGCAAATTTTAAAATCTTTCCATTCCATTTAATTGTTGAAAGGAAAGGGGAACCCTAGTTTTCCTTTCGAGTATAACAACAGTAATAAATAATCTATTAGAATTAAATATCGAGTATTTGAATATTAAATACTTGGCTTTATCATACTTGAGTAAAGTTTTCATGACAAGAGTCCTACAAGTTTCATGTGGCTTATTCTGCAGTGGACCATAAAGAAGTCCTTTGGATATCTTCTTGACAAGTTCAGATGGAGGTAAGATCTGAACCAGGGTCATCTCCATCTTAACAATTCTTGACATCATTTGTGATCATTTGAATGCTGTTACAGCTCTTGATGCTATTCAGCTATAGCAGGGGTGTCAAACTCAAGGCCCGGGGGCCAGATCTGGCCCATGGGGTGTTTAGATTTGGCCCATGGGGCCACCCTGGAAATAGCAAAGGACCGGCCTGCGGTGCCTCTGCCAGTGAAAACGGAGCTCGGGAGGACCACGGGCAGCCCTCGCAAGCTCCGTTTTTGCTGGCAGAGGGTTGCAGGAGGCTGTCGCAGCGAAAAACGGTGTTCGCAAAGACTGCGGGTGGCCCTCCTGAGCTCCATTTTTCACTGACAATTGCAGGAGCCCATTTTTGTGGGAAGAGTGCTCGGGCCACCACAGGCGCCCCCAACATGAGTGACATCGAGCTGGCCACGCCAGTGGTGGGATTCAAATTTTTTTACTAATGGTTCTGTGGGCGTGGCTTGGGGGTGTGTGGCTTGGGGGGGGCGTGACATGGGTTGGTGGGTGTGGCAGGGGAAGGATACTGTAAAATCTCCACTCCCACCCCACTCCTCGGGGAAGATTGCCACCGGTTCTCCGAACTACTCAGAATTTCCGCTACCGGTTCTCCAGAACTGGTCAGAACCTGCTGAACACCAACTCTGGGCCAAGCCCACCCTAGCCACACTCACTCTGGCTCCCCGAGGTCAAACACAACCCTGATGCGGCCCTCAATGAAATCAAGTTTGACACCCCTGAACTATAATATCCACTCACTTGTAACTTCTATTATTTACCCATTTCTCCTGTAGGTCCTTTTGATCCACGAAAGCCAGGAGCTCCACCCTGGAAACCTGGGTCACCTCGTTGACCTTTGACACCTGGAATTCCTGCTGATCCAGGCAGTCCATTTTCACTCAGGCCTAATAAAATTAGAAAAAGCATGAACAGCAGTTTGATCGGGACACTGTTTACTAAAAAGTGACAATCCTTGATGATCCACATAAATCACAAGGAACCAAATTGCGGAAGCTGGAAAAACATACTCCTGTTTCTGTAGCTCTGATACTTCAGAATTTGGCTTCAAAATGGGAGAAAGCAAAACACGGCTTTTAAGAATCTGCAGGAAAAGGATTTGAAGGGCCCAAAGCTTTTAGATGTTTCTGCAGAAGGCAGTCAAATACTAAAACATAGCTGATAACATCACCACCCAACAGTCTCTATTTGTGGAATTCTTGATGCTCCCCAAACTTGATTGTTTGCTTGCAGATGTTTTGTTACCCAACAGATAATATCATCAGTGCTTGTCACTCACCTTGATAGCGATTTGCACTGATGAGGTTACCTAGTTGAGTAATGAAATGTCTACAAGTCAACAACTAAGGTTGGAGAGCACCAAGAACTCCACAGTTCAACCCTGAGCTACAGAAATTTTCTTCTATAGGCATCACACAATTGTATTAGAGGTTGGACAAAATGAACCATTTAAGGGATGATATTACTGCATTTTGTGTCAACCCTGAAGCTGACCTGACTGAGGCCATTTTGAGGCTTCAGTGTTGCCACACTGGAGCTTTGGGAAAGTTCGGGGGGAATAGAGATAGCTGGGGTTTTGGAGCCAAAACAAAATAGTTTCTCCTGGGAGCCAAGGATATTCCTACAGGTGGTCGGAGAGAGGAGGAGTGAAATTATCAGGCCACCAGATGGTACCTTGATTACACCATGTGACTGATTGTTTGGGGAAGGGAATAAACTTTTAATTAGGTGAAAACCACAGGAATATTCAGAGTCGGTTTTCATCAGCCTGTGCCAATATGATATAGCAAATAAAACTGTTCTTTGAGGAATCGTCCTGCCTCAGAGTTCTGTTCGTTATGGGTGTATTACTTGGAACCCTGACATTTTGATCTTACTGTGGAAGTTTCTAAGGATCTTTTGATTTACCTTGTTTTCCGGGAGAGCCTTTGGTGCCCGGTAAGCCATTTAGACCGCTCAGTCCTGGGAATCCTGGGTATCCTGTAGATACATTTTAGAAGGTTTGATGCTATTTTGGTGGTTACTAAGAAAATGCTGTTGATGCTGCTGTATATTTATTGTTTTTATTTACTATAGGAACATAGTAGATGTTTGGCCAAGAAACCTGCTGTTGTGGTCCGACGGCAGCCTGTAGAGAGGCAGCAGAGTCGGACAGTGGGGAGGAACATGGGCTAGACCGGGAGTCTGGGGAAGACTCGGAAGAGGGTCCTGTGTCCAATACAGAGATGGGGGCCAGGGCCAGGGTCATCTGGGGGTTATGTACTGACTCTGAAGCCTCCAGAATCTGACAGCAGTGAGGCAGAGGAGCAAGGGGAGCCTGTTTCCAGTGCGCGTGTGCGCAGAGCTGCAAGAAGGCAAGAGCAGCTAAGACAAAAGGGGCAACTTGGGAGTAAGGCTTGGAGGTGATTGCCCTTCCCATAAGACATAAAGGAGGAGCAAAGGGACAGGAACCTTTGCAGGAAGCAACTTTGTTCACACTGGTTTGTTTGAAACCTGAAGCTCTGTGTTGAATTTGTGCTCCGTTTGGCCTTGTATAACTAATTGGAAATTTAGTCATTGGCAGCATTTCAAGGAAGATAAAGGTGCGGGATTATCAGACTTATCCTGAAGGACTTTGGCAGACTTCCATGGAACTATTTACAAACTGTTTGAGACTCATTATGGGATGTGAATGAATAAAATTCACAGCCGTTGAAATCAAGAAAAAAGTTTTGGGACTAATAATACGTGTTTGTTAGTGTCTCAATAAGCCTTGGTCAGAACACCTGCAAGGAACCTTACAAAGGTAACTTCGACGGCAAAAATCAATTCAGTGACATAATGAATGGCTCACAGTGACAATACCAGATAATGTCAAGATCACACAGGTTTTTCAAAGGAGTTGAGAAATCTTGCCCAACTGTGTGTCAAAACAAGAAACGAAAATCTTGGAAGTAGAATCCTATACAGTAAGACCCTGTCTTATATGTCAATGAAGACTCAATCATCTAGACCAGGGGTGTCCAACCTTGGCAACTTTAAGACTTGTGGACTTCAACTCCCAGAATTCCTCAGCCAG